CCCCCACACCAGGATCTTCCATGTTTAAATAAGATCACCCCCTCCCTCTTCGAAATTCCTGACAGACGTGGGACGAGCTCGCCTGCCCTTTCCCCAAAGACAGATTCGCCGATCCCAGTGCCCCCTTCATCCCAGGGATCAGTCGTTTGAACCTTCTCTGAGCCATCGCCAGTGTTTTTTTAGAAACTAGTAAATGCTTAGCCGCCAGTCTCTTTTCATTCACCCTCTGACACGCAGCCAGTTTCCCCCGTGCGTGCTCTCCCCTCCTCTCGTCCCTGTCACCCATACACCAGGACTCACTGCCCTCCCCCTGCGTCCAAAAAGCACGAGAAGCTGGTTAGTGAGTAAACCCGGTTTTAATGTGACCGTACAGAGGTACTGCTCCTCCTGCTGTAGATGTTTCCGTCGTTGCGGCTCCTGCTGTTTCAGTGCTAGATGCATCTCTCTCACCGGCTCCTGGGGGTCATGCCTGGAGGAGTGGGAACAGTTCTGGCAGCAGTGGGTGGTGCTGGTTCTGGTTCTCGTGGGGCCCGGTGCTGGTTCTGGTTCTGGTGGGGCCTGGTGCTGGTTCTGGTTCTGGTGAAGGCCGGTGCTGGTTCTGGTGGGGCCCGGTGCTGGTTCTGGTTCTGGTGGGACCCGGTGTAGGTTCTGGTGGGGCCTGGGGTTGGTTCTGGTGGGGCCTGGTGCTGGTTCCGGTGGGGCCCAGGGTTTGTTCTGGTTTTGGTGGGGCCCGGGCTTTGTTCTGGTTTTGGTGGGGCCCGGGGTTTGTTCTGGTTTTGGTGGGGCCCGGTGCTGGTTCTGGTGGGGCCCGGGGTTTGTTCTGGTTTGGTGGGGCCTGGTGCTGGTTCTGGTGGGGCCCGGGGTTTGTTCTGGTTCTGGTGGGGCCCGGTGCTGGTGGGGCCCGGTGCTGGTTCTGGTTCTGGTGGGGCCCGGTGCTGGTGCTGGTTCTGGTGGGGCCCGGTGCTAGTTCTGGTGGGGCTGGCTGGGTGTTTGCTGGTTCTCACGGCAGAGTGCCCTGGTCGGATGGGCCGAGGGCCCAGCGCCGGCGGCGGCGGCATGCCCAGTGCCGGCGGTGGGTGTGTCGGTGCCGGGAGAGGTTGGAGGACTGGTTGAAGCCCTTGCCGCACAGCGGGCACCGGAAGGGCCTCTCGCCGGTGTGGACACGCTGATGCTGCTCCAGGCTGGACATCCGGTTGAAGTCCTTGCCGCAGGCGGCGCAGGTGAAGGGCCGCTCGCCGGTGTGGATGCGCTTGTGCCGCGCCAGGTTGGACGACTGGGTGAAGGTTTTGCCGCACTCACCGCACCGGTACCAGCGCTCCCCAGTGTGTACCAGCCGGTGCCGCTGGAGGTCAGATGCCTGGCGGAAGCACTTGCCGCAGCGGGGGCATCTGTGCACTGGCTGGAGGGCGTGCATGCGCCGGTGCCTTGCCAGGTTTGATGAGCGGGTGAAACCCTTGCCGCAGGTGGCACAGCAGTGGCTGGCGTGGACCCTCTGGTGCAGGGAGAACGGTGACGCCCCGGTCACACCACGCCCGCACACCGAGCAGATGTACACCTCCTCCTCTTTCCCGGGGCCAGCACCCAGCGACTCTGGGCTCCCCGCAACCGCGGATGGTGCCTCCTGCTGGCCAGGAACAGCAGCACCCCCGACAGCTGCTGCGGTCAGGTCCGGCCGAACTGGCTCCTGGACACAGGCGATCATCCTCTTGCTCTCCCAGCTCCAACGGGGCCAGGGCTCTCTCTTCATCACCTCTACGGGGTGGGATGGGGGGAGAGAGAGCGAGAGAGAAGGAGAGATGTCAGACAGAGAGAAACAGAGAGAGAGAAACACAGAGAGACAGAAAGAGAGAGGAGAGATGTCACAGAGAGAGAAAACAGCGAGAGAGAAAACAGAGAGAGAGAAAGAGAAAGGAGAGATTTCACAGAGAGAGACAGAACGAGAGAAACAGAGAGAGAAAGAAAGAGAGATGTCACAGAGAGAGTGAGAAACAGAGAGAGAAAGAGAAAGGAGAGATGTCACAGAGAGAGAGAAACAGAGAAAGGAGAGATGTCAGAGAGAGAGAAACAGAAACAGACAGAGAGAGAGAAACACAGAGACAGAAAGAGAGAGCAGAGATGTCACAGAGAGAGAAAACAGAGAGAAACAGAGAGAGAGAAAGAGAAAGGAGAGATTTCACAGAGAGAGAGAAACAGGGAAAGAGAAAGGAGAGATTTCACAGAGAGAGACAGAGAGAGAGAGAAACAGAGAGAGAAGAGAGATGTCAGAGAGAGAAACAGAGAGACGGAGACAGAGAGAGAAAAGGACAGAGAAGAGACATGTCAAATAGACAGAGAGAGAGTGAGTGACAGAAAGAGAGAGATATCAGAGAGAGAGGTGTCAGAGAGAGAAAAACAGACAGAGAGAACCAGAGTGAGAGAGACAGATAGAGACAGAAACAAAGATAGAAAGAGAAAAGAACATTAGAGAGAAAGTGAGAGAGAGAGACAGAGAGTGAGGCAAAGACAGAGATAGGAGATACGTCAGAATGAGAGAATGAAAAAGGACATACATGGTGGTGGGGTGGGGGGAGGGAAAGGAGAGACGTGGGAGAGAGAGAGAGAGATGGGGAAAGGAGAGATGGCAGAGTGAGACAGAGGGAGAGAAAGAGACAGATAATATGAGGCAGAGAGAAAGGAGAGATGTCAGAAAGATACAGAAGGAAAAGGAAAGACATCAGAGGGAAAGGAGAGACATGAGAGAGATGGGAGAAAGGAGAGATGTCAGAGAGAGAGAGGAGAAACATCAGAGAGAGAGATATATAGTAAGAGAGAGAGAGAGATAAAAAGAGAGAGAAATATAGTAAGAGAGAGAGAGATACAAAGAGAGAGAGCTGGCAGCCTCACAAGCAGTTCATGCCACACTCTCTCTACTCACTCTCTTTCTGCGACCCCTATCCCATCATCTCTCCCCATGAATCGTCCCACTCTCCCTCAACTCAGGATTTTTTTCAGATTTTCCTTTTCACAAGTTGAATGTGCTCACATCATCAAATGCACAGCGAGTAGGCCGTTCAGCCCATTGTGCCTGCTGCTCCCCCAACCCCCATTCAATAAGATTGTCTCTGTCTCTCTGGCCAGGATCTGCCTCTGTCTCTCTCTCTCTGTATCTCGCCTCGCTCCCTCTCTCTCTTCCTCTTCCTCAATCAGTTTCTCACCAGGATCTGCTTCCCTCTCTCCCTCCCTCCGATCTTCAGATCTTTCCCCAGTCGTCCTCCCTCCAAGTGTCCCTCCCCGGTCCTGCTGCCCCCTCACACCTGATCATTACCCAGCCCTGCCAAACCCAAGAAGCTACCGAAATGATCCTGAGGACAACAGACAGTTCCCAGAGAGACAAAAGCTCAACTGGTGGCAGTTAACCCTGAGAGGCCATTCAGTTCCCCAGTCACTATTAGCCCAAGGTCTAAAGGCTTGACCCCCTCCAATTCCACCCAATGATCCCTACAGACTCTCCCTCCCTCACCATCACAGAGCCATGAGAGGGTTTCTACCTCTCCCCAGCCTCACAGGCAGTGAGCTCCAGCCTCAAATCTCTGAAACTTCTTGCCCCTTTACCTTCTATCTATGCCCCCACTCCTCCTTCAAGGGGGGAGGGTTCTTCCTGGGTACCCACTCTATGCCCCTCATCATCGCATTTACCTCAATCCTGTCTGTCACCTCCCACTCCTGCAGTCTCCCCAATCTTTGCACCCGATGCCTTCATTTCAGAAGCCCAGGTCCCACCAGAACACGAGATTTGGAGCAGAATGAGGCTACTCAGCCCATCGTGTCTGCTCCGCCATTCAATTATGGATGACCTGTTTCTCAAGCCCATTCTCCTGCCTTCTCCCCATAACCTTCGATCCCCTTACGAATCAAGAACCTATCTATCTCTGTCTCAATGACCTGGCTTCCATGGCCCTCTGCAGCAGTGAGGTCCATAGGCTCACCACCCTCTGGCTGAAGAAATTCCTCCTTATCTCAGTTCTGAAGGGTTGTCCCTTCTCTCCGAGGCTGTGCTCTCAAGCCCGAGTCTCTAATAGAATTGCACAACAAAGAAACATAACCCTTCGGCCCAACCCGTCCATGCTGACCAAATGTCCTAAATTAGCATTTGGATCATGTCCCTCAAACCTTTTCTATCCATATGCCTTTTGAATGTCGTAATTGTACCAGCCCCCACCACTTCCTCTCGTAGCTCATTCCATGCACGCACCACCTTCTGCATGAAAATGTTGCCCCTTAGGTCCCTCTTAAATCTTGCCCCTCTCACATTAAACACAGAATCATAGCATCCTCACAGTGTGGAATCAGGCCCTTCGGCCCAACAAGTCCACACTGACCCTCAGAGCATCCCACCCAGACCCATCCCCCTTTAATGCACCTCATCTACAAATCCCTGAACACTACGTGCAATTTAGCATGGCCATTCCACCTAGCCTGCACATCTTTGGACTGTGGGAGGAAACCGGAGCACCCAGAGGAAACCCACACAGACATGGGGAGAATGTGCAAACTCTGCACAGACAGAGGGTGGAATCGAACCTGGGTCACTGGTGCTGTGAGGCAGCAGTGCTAACCACTAAGCCACCATACCGCTAGTTTTGGATTGCCCCAGCCTGGGGAGAAGACCTGGTCTATTCACCCTATCCATGCCCCTCATGATTTTATAGACGTCTATAAGGTCACCCCCTCAGCCTCCGACGCTCCAGGGAAAATAGCCCCAACTTATTCAGCCTCTCCCTGTAGCTCAAATCCTTCTAGTGGAAACATCTCCCTGTCCACTCTATCCAGACCCCTCGGTATTCTGTAATTTTCAATCAGATCTCCCCAACCACCCTCATCCTTCTAAACTCCATCGAGTACAGACCCAGAGAGTCCTCAACTGCTCCTCATACCACAAGCCCTTCATCCCCGGGATCATTCTTGCAAACATCCTCTGGACTCCTCTCTAAGGCTAGCACATCCTTCCTTAGATACGGAGCCCCAAAACTGCTCAATATTCCAAATGCGGTCTGACCAGAGCCTTAGCTCTTGTATTCTGGCCTTCTCGAAATGAATGCTAACGTTGCATTTGCCTTCCTAACCGCCAACTACATGTTAACCTCCAGAGAATTCTGAACTAGGACTCCCAAGTCCCTTTTGTGCCCCACATTTCTCCGTGTAGAAAATAGTCTTAAGTTTTATTCCTCCCATCACCAAGCCCCACCCCGCAGTTCCCTCGGTCGAAACGCGTAGCCCGATTCCACGTTTCAACGTTAAAACTACAGCCGCTGCTCGCCTGCCCGGTTTGTCAGCCCAGCGATGCCCCCGTTACAGCCGGTCGCTATCTGCCACGATGGTCTGCTACCGATGGCCGTCCCCTGCGATACCCCACTTTGAGAGGTCAACCTGCACATTCCTAACCATCCAAAGAACTTGCCCGTCCCACACCTCCTCCAACCTTCAGCAAAGAAATAAACAAAAACCCTGAGAGGAGAGGACAGCTTAAGCATTTTGCAAAACAAAAAAACATCTACCCCCCAAAAAAAAACCAGCTCCCCCTCCCCATCCCCACAGACCCGGGCGGACTTTATTATTGTCTGCTTTCTTGTTATAATTAAAAAAAAGGTTATTTTCCTGCGGGATTGCATCAAACGTCGAACCTGCCAGACGGGGAAGTCTTGCATTAGTGCCCATGCATGCTTCTCCTTACCCCGGGGAAGCAGCCTGGGATTACCCTCTCTCCTCCACAAATCCCAGTCTCTCCTTCCCAGTTCCTGTGACAATGGCCGCTAGGCCGGCACTGCGCAAGAGCGTCGCAATCTCGGCCTGCCCCCATGGCCGAGATAGACCACTTTCCGGAGCGCAGGGCGCTATGGGTAACAAGGCGGCCATTACCCCATTGTGCCCGATTTCCCCTTTGAACATCACTCTTTCACACTATGTATATCCCCAGCACTCTACCTCCCCTCTCCTCTCTGATCAGAAGATAGCTAAGGAAGGAAACATCGCCACATAGAGGCCCTTTGGCCCATCAAATCTGCACCACCAAAATGACACCACTCCTGAAGAAGGGTCACTGGACTCGAAACATTAGCTTTCCCTGCACAGGTGCTGTCAGACCTGCTTAGTTTCTCCAGCAATTTCTACTGTCTTTGCTGCAGATCTCCAGTATTTTTGTTTTGCCCTCATTATTTCAGATTTCCAGCATCTGCAGTATTTCACCTTTACTAGAGTGCAAGGGCATATGTTTAAAGTGATGCATGAAAGAAGCAAAGTACGAAAACATTCTCACTGAGCGAGTAGTTAGGGTCTGGAAATTCATCGCCTGGAAATGTGGAGGAGGCAGGTTCAATTGAGGTGTTCAAGAGGGGCAGAGGATGGTTATTGGTATAGAAATGATAAGTGTAGAGATACAGAAAAAAGGCAGGAGATTGATAAGGGTGCTCATTTGAAGAGCTGGTGCAGGTAAATGGGCCTCGCTCTGCACTGTAACCATTCTGTAAAGTTTGAATGACTTAAATATTTTCTTCTTTCATGGGAAGTGTGGGTGAGGGGAACTCAGAGTCAACCGCATTGCTGAGAGTAACATGCAGGTCAGACCAGTATAAAATCTGTCCCTTTTAAACTTCTCTGCATTTCTCATTGTGGAGTGAAAAGGCCTGTTTTGAAATCAAGGCCCGAGGAAGTAATTGCTGCATTTTTGCAAGTGGGGTGGGGGGAGAAGACAAGTCACTGGACCTCATTGTACGTTGTGTTTATCCAGCTGCTTCGGAAGTAGGAGAGAGAGATAAGACAACAGTTGGTGTGCAGAGAGATTCGACCAGCAACCGGCTGCTAATTGGTTTGTTGACTTGTGGATTCCAGAGATTGCCAGCCTGATACCACCTCCGATTGGTTCCTGGGCAGCTGAACAGATCTCCATGCAGTGTGTGACTTGATCTCTCTGCAGCTTAGTCCCCAAGCTGGGAGACAGTCAGTTAGTCTCTCCCAGCATTTCTCTAACCTGGCCACTGTGAAACTGAAATATGAAAGTGTAAAGGGGCTGCATCTATGGCAAAGAACTAAAAAACCTGGAATAAGATTGGACAACAGAAGGTCTTGGGATGAGCAAAACTAAACAACCTGTGAGCTGGTGTTAGTGAACTGTGCTTCACCAGTCATCCTCCCTAACCCCAGCAGCTGGTTGAATTTAAGCTGAATTAATAAATCAGCAACAAAGTTAGTCTTCGGGACAATAACCATGAAACAATAATTGATTATTGCAGGAGTTCATCGGGGTAGTGTCCTTGGCTCAACTATCTTCAACTGCTTCATCAGTGACCATCCCTCCATCGTAAGGTCAGAAGTGGGGATGTTCGCCGATGATTGAACAAGGTTCAGCGCCATTCGCCCCCTCTTCAGGTACTGAAGCAGTCTGTGTCCAAATGCAACAAGATCTGGACAATATCCAGGCTTGGGCTGACAAGTGGCAAGTAACATTCATGCCACACAAATGCCAGGCTATGACCATCTCCAATAAGAGACAATCTAACCACCAGCTGTTGACATTCAATGGTGTTACCATTACTGAATCCCCCCACGATCAGCATCCTAGGGGTTACCTTTGACCAGAAACTGAACTGGACCCAGCCACATCATTACAGTGGCTACAAGAGCAGGTCAGAGGCTGGGAATCCTGCAGCAAGTAACTCCCCTCCTGATCCTCCCCCTGCCCCCCAAAAGCCTGCCCCACCATCAACAAGGCACAAGTCAGGAGTGTGATGGAATACTCCCCGCTTGCCCTGGATGGGGGCAGCTCCGACAACACTCGAGAAGCTTGAGATGATCCAGGGACAAAGCAGCCTTCCCACCCCCACCCTGCTCAATCAACATGCTAACACTCCAATATTCACTCCCTCCACCACCGACACATGGTGGCAACAGTGTGGACCATCTATAAGACACACTGCAGTGACTGACCCGAAGCTCCTCTGACTGACACCTTCCAAACTCATCACACCTAACCCTCATACCACACTCAGGTTCTCTCCATCCGCCCTCCTCACACCCAGTATCCCTCCCTCTCTCTCTCGTTATAGGATCCTACAGCATGGAGACAGGCCCTTTGGCCCAAACAGGTCCATGCTGACCAAAATGTCCATCCATGCTAACCCCGTATCCCTGCAGTTGGCCCATATCCTTCTAAACCTGTCCTATCCATGTATTTGTCCAAATGCCTTTTAAATGTTGTTAATGTACCCGCCTCAACCACTTCTGCTGGCAGCCCATTCCATATGTGTGCCACCCTCTATGTAAAAAAGTTGCCCCTCAAGATCCCATGTACTTTATCCCCCCTTACCTTAAACTGATGTCCTCTAGTCCTCGATTCCCCCATCCTGAGAAAAACGCTGAGCGAATTCACCCTATCCACGCCTCTCATGATCTTATACACTTCTATAAGATCCCCCCTCAGTCTCCTACGCTCTGAAGAAAAAAGTCCTAGCTTGTCCGACCTCTCCCTATAACTCAGTCCCCTGAGTCCTGGCAACATTCTTGTTAATTTCTTCTGCACTCTTTCCAGTTTAATAACATCCTTCCTATAGCAAGGTGACCAAAACTGAACACAATACTCACCGATATCCTGTACAACTGCAACATAACTTCCCAACTTCTGTACTCAATGCCCTGACTAATGAAGGCCAGTATGCCAAAAGCCTTCTTCACCGCCCTGTCTACCTGTGACTCCACTTTCAAAGTTTTGAAGAAGATTTGTAGCTCGAGTTGTGGATGAGGTTGCAGACATGATCGCCGAGCTGGTGGGTTTGGTTGCAAATATTTAGTCACCCTGCTCGGTAACATCATCAGTGCACCTCTGGTGAAGCATCGGTGTTCTGTTGTTATTTATATGCCTCAGTTTGTTGGGGTGGTTGGTATTACTTCCGGTTTTATTTCTCAGTGGTTTGTGCACCGGGTCTACTTCAATGTGTTTGTTTATGGAGTTCCGGTTGGAATATCAGGCCTCGAGGAATTCCCTGGCATGTGTCTGTATGGCTTGTGCAATTATTGCTGTGTTATCCCAGTCGAATTGTGTCCCTCATTGTCCACGTGTAGTGAGACAAGTGAGAATTGGTCATGTCTCTTGGTGGCAAGTTAGTGGTCGTGTATCCTTATTGTCAATTTACTACCGATTTGGCCTATGTAGTGTTTCTCACAGTCCTTGCATGGTATTTTATACATTACACTGGGTATGGGATCCTTTACGTTCGCCAGTAGCTGTCGCAGGATGGTTGTTGGTTTGTGGGCTACACTGTTACCTAAGGGTCTGAGTTAGTCATGTGGTCATCTCTGAAATGTCCTTCATGTACTGTAAAGTGATTAGTGAGTCCGGTCATGTTGTGTCTTCCTGTTGTGGTCTGTCTCGCAGGTAATGGCAGATTGTGTATCCATTCCTTTTGAAGACTCCGTATAGGTGCCTCTGTTCTGCTTTGTGTAGTTCCGGGTTGCTGTAATGTGTTGTGGCTCCTTTAAATAGTGTCCTGATGCAGCTCCATTTGTGAGTGTTGGGGTGGTTGCTAGTGTAATTGAGTATCTGGTCTGTATGTGTGGTCTTTCTATACATGCTAGTCTGGAGTTCCCCATTGTTTCTGCGTTCTACCATTAGCAAGGATAGATGGTTGTTGTTCTCCTCTTCCTTTGTGAATTTTCTTCCCTTGGGGATGTTATTTCTGTATCAGTGGGTTTCTTATAGTTTTGTGCATTTGGTAATCACAAAGGTGTCATCTACAAATCAGTCCCAAAGTTTGGGTTGTATAGTGGGGAGCGCTGTCTGTTCTAACCTTTGCATTACTGCTTCTGCAATCAGTGCTGATATTGGGGATCACCAATGGTGTTCTGTTGATTTGTTTGTATATGCCATCGTTTGAAGGTGAAACGGGTTGTGAGGCACGGATCTAGTAGTTTCATGGTGGTGTCCTTATTGATGTTGTTGTTGTCCTGGGATGCCTGCTTACTTGACTTGTCCAGTAGCGTGGCAATTGTCTCTTCGGCTGGGTTGACGTTTGTGGACATAAATACTGCTATGACATCGAAGGATATCATTATCTCGTCCTCGTCTATCCTGGTGTCCTTGATGATGTTGAGGAATTTTTGGGATAAGTGGATGGAGTGGGTAGCGTTGTCTACTGCATCAGGACACGATTGAGCCCACAAACCGACAACAAGGGACACGAATTCGAGTGGGACAACACAGCCATAATCGTACATGCCACACAGAGACACGCCAGGGAATTCCTGGAGGCCTGGTATTCCAACCGGAACTCCATCAACAAAAACATTGAATTGGACCCTGTGTGCAAACCACTGAGAAACAGAACTGGAAGTGGTACCAAACACTCCAGCAGGCCGAGGCATATAAAATAACAAGTGGGACAGAACACCAACGCTTCACCGGAGGGACACTGATGGTGTTACTTTCCAGGGCGACGAAACGTTTGCAACCAAACCCACTGGCTTGGCGACCATGTCTACAACCTCACTCCACTTTCAGAGAACCGTGCACCTGAACTCTAAGGTGCCTCTGTTCTACTACACTCCTTAAGGCCCTACCATTCACCATGAAACTCCCACCTGGATTTGACTTTCTACATCCAGTCTTCCGCACCGAGTCTCTCTCCCCTTCTGCACCCAGTCTCTCTCCCATTCTGCACCCAGTCTCCCCCCAACTCTCTCTCTTCCCTTCCGCACTCAGTCATTCTCTCTCTCTCACCTCTTCTGCACCCAATCTCTCTCTCTCTCCCCCCCAGCACTGATCCTGTCCAGTGCCCAGAACGCCACCCTCCCGGGACACCCCTACTTGGTGATTCCCTGGATGCCGGATGTGAGAGAAAGACAGAGACGCAGAGGGTTATTTACAAAAGTTGCTGTGTATTCACAGTGGATCGAGGAGACCTCGCAGGAACTTGTCCGTTCGACACCTTTCCCGGGAATGTCGGGATTATTCCTAGCCGCTCGCTGCCACCCACCCCTCCCTCCCCCACCGCCTCGGTGGCTGGAGGGGACACGGCTCAGCCAACCAGGCCACACTCAGTCCAAATCCTCGGCCTCTCCGTCCGTGGCTCCCAGATGGTTCTGGACCTGCTGCTGTTTCCTGTAGAGGTCGGCCACCTGCGGATGGGGAGGTAGCAGCCGGTCAAAAAAAATCAGGGATGAGGATTCCCTTCCCTGATCCCTCAGTTTCCAAACTGATTTCCCCTCCCGCGGGATCCCCAGGTATGTCCGCGAGAATCCTCCCCGGGATCTCATCCCTGGCTGCTCAGCCCCTGTTCCCAGTACTGGATGGCTATCTCTCTGACTGGCTCTCTCTCTCCGTCTGTCTCACTCTCTCTGTCTCTCTCTCTCTGTCTGTCTCTCACTCTCTCTCTGACTGGCTCTCTCTCTCGGCACCTCTCTCTCCGTCTGTCTCTCTCTCTCTCTCTCTGTCTCTCTCTCGCACCTCTCTCTGACTGTCTCTCTCTGTGTCTCTCTCTCTCTGTCTGTCTCTCACTCTCTCTCTCTCTTCCCCACCCCCCACTTCTCTCTCTGTCTCAGCCTTTCTCTGTCTGTCTCTCTCGTTCTCTCTCTCTCTGTGTCTCTCCGCTCCAGCTCTGTGCCCCCCACTCTCCCGGTTCCCGGATACCTGTCGGCTGGTCGTGGCATCCTCCGGTTTCTTGTCGTCTCGAATACGGAGGAACCGAGGGAAACGCAGTGAGATTCCCTTCTCTTCGTCCACCTGGGGGTCAGGATCAGCAGTGAGACCATTAGCTCGGTGACAAGTGGGGGGGGGGAAAAGGGGGACAGGGAGGGAGAGGGAGAGGGAGAGACAGAAGGAGGAGGGAACAGAGACAGAGGGAGAAGGGAACAGAGACAGAGGGAGGAGGGAACAGAGACAGAGGGAGGAGGGAACAGAGACAGAGGGAAGAGGGAACAGAGACAGAGACAGAGGGAGATGGGAACAGAGACAGAGGGAGATGGGAACAGAGACAGAGGGAAGAGGGAACAGAGACAGAGGGAGATGGGAACAGAGAC